TTCTCCTCGGCTCTCGCTAGCGCAGTCGGGCAGCCCTCGCGCTCACACAGCCCGGCCAGCTGCAGCCCACGGCCAGAACAAAGAGGCCCGTTTCTATTTTCAGCAAGAGCCACTGTCATTGCTTGGGCTGGCGTCCAGCCAATATGTTTATTTCCTCCCCACTCCAAACCCCAAGCACAGGGAAAAAGAAAGAGACATCATCCTCCAAGTAACTTGTTAAAGACTGGCACGTTGGCTTTAACAAGCGCGACTTGCATTCAATCCTGAATACTTTGTGCAAAGCTCTTCCAAGATGACCTGGGCAGTCAGCAGTACCTGAGCAACCATAGCAGCACGTTCAAACGATACCAAATACTTGTGAAATGAAACACAAAAATCCGGAAGTGGAACATGTGAACCATGGATCTTGGGGGAAAAGCAGCAGCTTTGCCAATGCGCATGGGAGCAGAGTTACAGCTCCTCTTTGCTGAGCTGCAGGTGAGGGCTACATCCAGAAGTCATGGTGGGTAAGTGGAAATACCACACAGCCACCAAATCAGGATGGTAATACAAAATTATATGAGTAAATCTGGCAACCAAAACACGTCTGGAAGCCCCCAGAATTGGTGGATATCAGTGACCACCACATTTACAAGCTCTTTGTGACCTGCCAGTTGAGTAAGTGCCTTTTTTGCATTTGGCAAGAGACCCCCACAGGCCAGAAGCCCTGAGCACACCACACTCGCTATTGGTTTCCAGCTGTATTAGATTATACTTGCAGCATGGAAGTATTTACCTCCTGCCAATATCCCTGGAGCTGGAAGGAGCTCTAAGAACTTACAAGCCTTCAAAAAAGCTAATTAATGAACTGCCATAAATAATTTGCTCTCTTAGGAAGATAGGCACTCTTTTAACAGTAAGAAACAATTTTCTTTAATGAAGGAGGATGATTTGCCAATGCACATCCACATTTTATTATAGGTGTTTATCAGCCACTTATAACTGGTCATCAAGCAAGCAATCTGGCTTGTTAGGAAAGGCAACACAAAGACACCCTAGTCCAAAACACAGCACACTCCTGCCAGCTACACCATCCCTGGAACGCAAACCGGTGTGTGCTTCATTTTATCAGCCACAAACCCTCTCCTCTAGAGGGATCACACTCAGGCAAGCAGATTGTCTCTCCCAAGACCTCTTTGCAGGTCGCTGCAGGGATAGAAGAAGGCAGAAGTCAACAACCTCCTTCCAGCTTTGAGCCAAAGATGGCATAGCAAGATTCCCAGTGAAGACAGGCAGAAAAGCCAAGAAAAACCATGAAATTGAGAATTGTTGTAAGTTACCTACCTAGCTAGCGCTGTTACCCAGGAGGTTTTAGCCTGTTTTTTCATGCCTCCTTTAAGCAGGTTCCCTTTTGCCTGCGAGGCCCAGAAGGCAGCTCATTTTTGACACAAGCCTGAGCTACCAGCTCTACTGCAAGAGCGTAAGGATTTTAAGTTAAAACACAGAGCCGGTTCCAGGCCCTTTGAAAGGTAAGACGTGAGGGAACTTAAAAGCCTCATAAGCCCTTCTAAGAAATATTCACCCAGTTACCTCTCCGAATACTTCTGCATTAATTATTATTAGGATTACTATTAACTCTTATTAAAATAAGTACCCAAAAAGTTCAGTAGGGAACTCAGTATTCAAAAGCAGGAGACTTCTGCAAGCATTTTTTACTCAGAATAAGAGCACATGATGTGCCACAGCTGCTAGGGACTGTCCTTTTCGGGATAAGGTCTGCTCTTGGTGAGCTAGAAGCTGACCAGTAGCATTGCCAGCACTGGGGAAATTGAAGGTTGTCTTGTTACTTCCACACTCCATAAACAATAGAAGTGCTGAAATACAGTAATATTTACTCCTGTTTTGCCATCTGATTATACATATATATATACAAATAAAACCTGTGACTCCCAGAACCTGTAGCAGCAGAGTAACAGCCACAGCTTTTCATTGCACCAAAAAGGCGCCAAAAAAAAAAAAACCCAAAACAAAACCCACTCAGTTTCAGTGAAGAAGGTAGTATTGCATAAAAAACAGAAGAAATAAATAGAAAAATATAGAAAAACCTTCTCAATGGATCACATACTGCTTCCCTTTAGTAGTTACTAAAGAGTCAGCATCTTTAAGAAAACAGCAATAAAACAACCCCCACAAGAACAACAGTTTGGTTATGTAACCAGCCCAAAACAAAACAAAACCCCCAAAGGACTAAGCTGTTTATCTTTAGCAGAGACAGAGCCATCCAGGTCAAAAGAAGATTATAACAGGATGGATGTCCCCAAACACCCTCTCACCTGAGCATTTTGATGCGCCTTGATAAAAGCAGCTCTTCCAAGTATTGACTTCCACACTGGAAGGGAGATCCATCACACTCTGTAGTTCAGCCTTTTCATGCCATTCTTTGCACAATCAGAGCAGAGCTGAGGAAAACAACAGCCAAACCCCTCCCCAGCAATAGCCAACTAAACATCCCAGGCCAGGCTGCTGCAGGTGTCCCAAATGAAGCACTCAGTGCCCTCACCCACAGCACCTGCTGCTGCACTGGAGCCTCTCACACAGTGTTTAGTGTTAATATCACAGGTAAAGACAAACCTAAGACAGAGAGGGTGTTTAAATAACTCTCCAAGGAAGGATCAGCACAGCTTGTTGGCAGGGAAAGACCCTTTGTTTCTCTCAAATGAAGAATGCTGCAAACAGTGTGTGAGTGTTTAGTGATGGACCATTTCTAAAAAGCAGAGCCCTGGTATGAAAGCACTCGGGATCAACTCCACAGAGGAGATCTGAGGTTGTTCTGGGACAAGTGTCAGTGCTGTTTGCCAAGAGGGCAGATTTCAGCACAGAATTCCAGCTTGCTGGTCCTAACAGCTTATTTAAGGGGAAAAAATTGATTAAGATCTTCCACTGCTCTCCTGCCCACACGAGGTAAGGATGAGGCCTGCGCTGAAGGCTTGTTGTGTTGGGGCTTTAGGAGGGTGGCTGAGGGAAAGTGGTGTTGTAGGGGGTTTTGTGTATACATATATGTATATATTTTAGACCATGAAAGCATTTGGAGCGTATCCCAGCCCTCTATATTGTTGTTCCTCACAAATGCCAGACCTCCCCTGGTCACAGAAGGGTCCATTGGAGCTGCAGCACTGGCTCTACACAGCCAGCAGCCCTCTCGTGGGGAGGGAGCCGTGAACATTCCGGTTTATGGAGCAGAACATTCAGTTTAGTGTCAGACCCTGTGGATGCCGCTTTACAACCTGCACAGCCAGAGTGACTTTGCTAGCACCTCACAACAACTAATTCCATTTTGTTTGCTAAGCTGTTCTTTTTATACTGTTTGAAGACACGTAAGTCACCTGCAACCGCTTCCCTCCCGCAGCAGCAGATCAGATCACTATCATTAAAAACAAGGCATATGTATGTGTGTGTATCTCTATGAACATGAACCTATTCCATTCATCCCATGCCCCTGAACCTGTCACATCTCAAGCCACCCCACCAGAACAGCGCTAGGGGACTGGGTCCATCACGTCACTGCCAGCAGACAGGTCATCCTCTCATATAGCTCTGCTTCTAGGAGACCAGAAAGATGCCAGCAAAACTCCTAACAACTGTGTAGAGTACCCAGTATCTTGTTTGACTGCAAAAGGAATTAAAAACTCATTTTACAGTGCATTTTTAATTAAAACTTCATTATAAGAATTTTCTTTTAAGAACAGTAGTGTACTACATATTAATGGAAATATGTAACTTTATCCTACAAATGGGACTTTCACCATATTATTCTTACAGTTCAAAACATATGAAAAATAAAATATGATATATAGCTTTATAAATTTCCCCACCCCCTTTTAAATCCTTTTTCTTTAAAATAACAAAGTATCAACTCTTTCCTGGTACAGTGCATTTGCTATCTGTGAGCCACAAACCAAGTAGTCACATCAATGCCAAGAAAACAGCAACATTGTTTGCAAAATATTGAGAGAAAATGATAAAAAAAATAGTAGTAGTCAGCCCAGTGCTTACAGAAGAGACAATCAACAAGAATTGAAAAAACAGCACATCTTCATATTACATAGGATCATTATAACATAGAAAACATTATAGAAGACAGGCTGGAAAAATATATAGTGATTCTCAGCAAGCAGAAACTAAACTTTGGCACTTGCTCATAAAAAGGCCTTTCAAAACAAAACTGAAATTCACTTAATCACAGCTTGTATACTTAAAAAAATAAAGACATAGACTAAAGCAAGAGAAACAATAGAGAAAAGTTTACAAGTCAGGTCACCACGAATTCAGTACATTCAGCCTACAGAAAATACAAATACAATCATTCATCCATCCACCTATATGGGGAGCCTGGCTAAGGAAAGAGAGGTTTTGGGACTGAGCCTCACCTGGAGCATCTCTTGAGTTCAGTGAAGCTAAGTGCATTGCACAAGCAAGGTATCCAGCCCTTCTTTGAATTTAACTAGAATAGCATTTACATCAAATGTATCACCTCTGTCATAAAACAAGGATTTCTAATCTGTAAACTGAAAAGCAAGATCATTGTACTCCACATAGCAGCTGTTCTACTCTACCCATGGTTGAGTCATGCCACGGTAGTGCAGGCATTATATAATTTCTTTAAAAAGAGCTTTAAAAAAAAAAAAAAAAAAGTGTTTCCTTGAATTCCAAGGGGGAGGATAGAAGGGAGGGAGATCCACTTTTAGCCTGTTAATCTTTGTGCTTTGTCAGCACTGCGTGTTATCCAAAGGAAAACTATAGGTAACACATCCAAGGCTGCTCCCCATCCCTGCCAGAACTGATGCACTTACCTAGGGCCTAACCCCAAATGCTACTGCTTTTAAAAAGCCTGTTTTGGAGCAGGCCATAGGAGAGCAAGGGCTGCTCCAGCCAAGAGGTGCTGCTTTCATTGTCAGGCTCAGTGCCCCAAACCACCAGCTTTCTTTGCACCCAGGCAGTTCGCTCGATTTTTTTCTTCTTCAGAGGAGTTAGGGAAGGGCAGAGAGAGAAAAGTAAGTGCTTTAGATTGCACAAAAGATTGTCCTACTAAAAAGGGGCACTTAAACGGGAAAGGATTGCAGCTATAAATCTAGCAGGCGCTCTTCACATGTCTCCACAGGCCACTTAGTTGCACCTCCAAACACATCAACGTTATTATCAACCCAGGGTATGATGTTGCCAGGCATGTTGGTAGAGCAGTTGGCAATGTTCATGATGTCTTCAGCTTTTAAGACCCTGTCCCATATATTGAACTGGCTCATCTCCCCCACGAAGGCTTGAGTGGCATCAAATCTTCCTCCTACTGTGTCCTTTAGGCACATAAGAATTAGGATTAGATGACCAGGTTATTTCAGCATTTTCTTCTTTAAACTTGAAAATTCTCCCCCCGCAGCAACCCTGCTAAAAGCAGGTGAAAAGAGCAGAGCCAGATCACACAGACAAGCGACTCCAAGTTTCTAGAAGGGCCACTTTGAACAAGACATTGCTCCATGAAACATTTAAAAGCTGAAGGCTGAAACATGCACGTCAAAGCAGGTCAAGGCAAGCAGCAGTGCCTGTCTCCTAGCACAGAAAGGCTGTACCTAACTAACCCTGCACCCGAGCAGCTTCAAATGCAGAGGCTGATGTAGGACCCATTTTGCAAGCCTTGCGCAGGGGAAACTTCAGTGAGAATTACACAGAGGAATAGGATTACCCCAAAAGCTTTACGGATGGATGCCATCACTGAAGACAAACTTTTGGCTCTAAATACACAGACTTCTGCTGCCCATTCCAGATCAGTTACTCCAAGGGTCACTGCATAAGCCTCAAAGGTTTATTTGCTCCACCCACTACTTAAGGACTGAGATCCCATCTTGTGTGATCCCACTAATGTAAAATTGACAGCACAGGCCAGAGCCAAGCGCAGTACAGCCAAGCTGCATGAGAGTTACAGAAAAGCTCTCTCAGCCCTTTAACACTGAGACAGAGCATTCGCTTTGCACATTCAGAAGCCCAATGCAGTTTGTTAAATGTCAATTATTTATGGTAGGGATGAGGATCCACTGAACTCCTGACTAAAATTACTAGTCGCCCAGTTGTTAACCTGGGAATTCTGAAGAGTTTATTTCCTACTATTTATTATGATCTATGTTTTTTTTTTGACAAAAGCATCAAGATAAATAATCATATGTAAAATAAAACAAAGATGAAATAGTCACACAGTTTATATACAGTAGTTCAGTGAGACGTAACATTATTAAACAAATATTAAACAAGAATCAGATTTCAAAATCCTTTGTTTCTCCTTATTCAAAAAGGATTCATCCTCAGCCTCAAAGCTGGCCTCAGCCAGCTTTGTATTGGCTCTATCAATATTCAGACATTAATGTTTGCACTGGAAAACTTTATATACTTTAATCAAACAAACATAATGCAGAGTTCCTACTTTGACTTTAGATTTGCCTTTAAATTAAAGAACAACTTTAAAATTAGTGACATAGACTCCACTGCTATAAAGCTGTGCAGCTTGGAGCGGGTCAGGAATGCCAGACAGCAACTTCACAGAAGCTGGAACTGCCTTCATTTATTTCGCGTTACGTATCACAGTATATAGCAATTCGCATAGCAACATCTCGGTAGAGCATCAGTAACTGGTTACAAGCATTAACGTGCTAACATATCATAGGTTGCTAAGCCGTATCCAAGCGCCTAACCGCAAGGTTTAAAAACAGTATCTCAGCCCTAGGAACTTCCTCAAGTACAGGAGGTACTTCCTTAAAAATTGTTCACCGAAATTCAGTGATTTTGCACGTCAGCCTTTTCGGTCCGGGTTAAGGACGGTCAAAGGCACCCCCCTGTACAACGTCCCCCTACATAAAGCTTTTGGGCATGTAGCACAATTCTCCCTAGCAGACACATCTATAGAAGATGGTGACGGACTCACAAGTACTACCAGGCTCTCTAGTCTGTTCTGGGCCTCTAGAAGTAACATTTGACTGTGATAGGGATATAGAAGCTAGGAGGACAGCAGAGGGAAAAAAAATACACAGCAACCTGCTAATAGGTATGGGCAATTTGGTTTAAAGCACAACCACTAAGTGCATTGTGCACATGGTCCACCTTCAGACAGCTCCTTTTTGGCTGCACTCATATGCACATAACAGATACAGCAAATTCTGTCTTTTTCTCGGCCAGTTTTAAGCAATTTTGTTCAAATGACTCCATTTGATCACTGATGAAGTTTAACACTGTAATATGAAGACTGGGAATAGTTGCAACATGAATCTCCTGAATATTTGATAAATGAAACAAAACACAGAAGTGTGCAGTAGTATCAAGCACTGTTTGCTATTTGTTGATTTTTCTTCCTGATACTAGATAGCACCAAGACTAAGGACTTAGTATAAAGGGGAGATCTGTTTGTTTGGCAACTCTGATTTTTATTGAGTCTTTGTTTTTAAATTCTTGGGACACACCAAGGGTTTCACTCACCTGCTCCTGACCGAGGATCAGGACGCCCCCAGGTTTAATTGGGTGCCACGGAGCTAGATTCTCTCCAGTGCCAAGCTTCTCTCCATCCTGGAAAGCCTCCCACATGCCATCTCTGGTTGTCCATGTTACACAGATATGATGCCATTTTCCATCACTGACAAAGAGGGGAAGTTGGGCAACCTACCAAAAGAACAAACAAATAAATAAAACCAAGTCTAGCAGTGCAAGCATGGGTTTTATCTACTCTGTCCTCAGATGCATAAACTGAGGAAGCAGAAGTTAGTTCCCATTCAAATCTTTATTTTGTCCCACCTCATAATGCCTGGGAATCATCTCCACAATTCTCTATGTTAATGCACTGGAAATTCAAAAGTACAGTATGCTTTTTGTTCCAGCTGTGGGCCACTTTGTTCCAGCTGCAATCAAATGATAAAAGAGCCGGTCTAAGCTGCTATCAAACTACTGATACTGCAAGTTAATCTGCAGCATCTGTTGTTACTAAAGTTTCTTGTCTTAGCCCTATCTTCCATGGGATTTTCATGCTAGAGTTTCCCTTCGGGCCATGGTTGCACTTGCAGGTAGCACTGACAAGAAGATCTGTCTGCTCCCAGTAGCGATTGTGGGAGCTGTATGTAGGGCTGCCAAAGGAGAGGAATTAAATTCCCTCAGGAACTTGATCTAAAATTCACTCAAGGCAGCATGGACACAGATGCAGTTGCTTATTGAGCAGTTCTACAGAATGGTAGATAAGGAACAAAAAACATTTAGTCTCACACCAGTGAAGCTACTCTTAGCATTAAGACAACAGAGAGAACATTGAGGAGAAAGTTACAGCTAAGGATTAGCAGACTCAAGTTTCCTTCTCTTCCACAAATCATTTAAAACAACCACCTTTCACTGCTATTGATTCCAGGTGATGGTAGGACCCTTAAGAGTCCTTAACTAGCCATGTGACTGAACAACCTGAGTTGATGATACAGCTTTGTAAACACCTGATCCCCAGAGAGCAGTGAGTTACTAGGAAACCTGTCAGGCCAAGGAACACAAGGGATGGGGCCTGAAGGCAAGTTGTGCTACAATGCTGCCTGGCTAGGTTTAGAATCTAGTTTTGTTTATATTTATTCAAAACAAGGATTTTAGCCATCACCAGACATTTATATTTCATAATTAGTCCAAACCAAAAGTGAGGGAAATAAAAATATTTACAATTTGTTTTAATAATAAACTTCAGCAGTTCTGATTTAATTCTGAAGCTTATCAGAAACCACCACTGGTATGTAGTAGTGAGGGACAATTCTTTGCTGCTTTTTTCAAATACATAAACTCTGAAAAAAATGCACTTAACTTTGTCCGAGAGTTAAATGTATCAAAACCAATCTCAGCTGATCTTTGTTCTTTTTTGTGCCAGATTTTAACATACCTAAATTTTAGTATGAGAAAAATACTGCAGCTAGCTTAGATAAAACAGACTTTGTAATAATGTAGCTTCAAAAAAAAAAAAAAGTTACTTCTTGCTTGCTTTTTTTTCTGAAACAGAATTCAAGCACAGGAAGTCTTGCTATTTCAGAGGATGAACATAAGTTTGTGCTCAGCTAAATATCCCGCTCTCTTGTCTCAAGCAAAGCACAGATCTAAGCAACCACTTGACTTTGAGAGTGCTTTTGTCAACTTGCAACAAATACACGGATATTGAGAAAGGACATGGACATTCTTTTATCTCAAAAGGCCTGAGCTATGGAGACTCAGAGAAAATAAGTTGGCAGAGAGGTATATAGAGTTCAGGATTAAAAAAAAAAAAAAAGGCAGTTATGACCACGTAGACCACCAGGAAAGTTATTGGTTCTCACCTTATCATTAATTAGAAGTTCAATTGGATTATTCCCCCATTCTATGAGGACAATTTCATTAGCCTGACCAGGAACAGCATATGAGAATGGAGTGCCAATTCCAGGAGAAGCACTTGATCTCAACCACAAGCACACGGTGAAAGCGTAGAGCTCTGGCAGAGTCTTCTTGATCTTCCCATATAAATAATTTGTGCGAAGAGGAAGAGACACTTTGAATTCGTCGGGTGATTTAAATGCACTGTTACCTAGAATTACATGGAAGAAGAAAAAGTTAACATTTAGTTTAATGTTTATACATTTTGGGTTAAGAAAATAATATTTCATATCATCTTTTTAACTTATTCAATTTACAGGAGGTAGAAAAAAACTACACTCAAATATTATTAAAAGTTGATTTTGCAGCACAATTAAATACAAGAATCTATATATTCATCATGCTAATTACTTAGCTTATTTTTACCTGCTCATTCAGAGCAAAAGAGTAAGTGGCATGCCATTAATGAGAGGCTGTTAAATATTTTTGTTCTTCATTGCTCAGTTCGTGGCTGGAGGCATTCCCATTTCACACCATTCAAACCATTTTAAAGACACTCACTGTTATTAAACAGAGATTCTCTGGTAGGCTCATTATTAAAACAGTTCAAAAATACAGTGTTTCTTCCTACTACTCCTACACAGTGATCTAGCACCATTATTCCCCACTTCATAGACAGCCGGCACAGAATCAGGTTGACTCTCTCATTTTGGCTGGCCAATCTGGAATAACCAAAAGCAGACACATTCCAGAACACTTAGCAGAGTTAAATTCAGTATAAGCAATCTCCATTCTACAGACAACTAAGGAGACTTGAACCAAAGGGTAAAGCTGAAGTCAAAATGTCATCAACAAAAGTGCAATAAAGTTGCAAACTATCTAACAACTAGATAGCAACAAAAGAAGAATACTATTTTCTTTTCCTAGAAAGTGACAGAAAGCCAGAAAGATTCCGAAGAGATTTTTATGAAATTGAGAACTTGGATCAAGACTTTATGGTGAGCTGCAACACTCTGCATTATACAGTTGTTTGCATGTATACAAACTACTAAAAGCAGTGTAGTTCTCTAGATTAAAAAAAAACAAACAGATGAAAAAATTCACACTGTGGCACAATATAAAACCCTATGGCTCTGCAGCAGTTAGCCCATCTTCCTCAGTCTTCTGTTCTTGTGTCTCCTACCCATTCCCTTAAATTCCATCCCTGAAACAAATTTCATCCCCTTGCCATATTTCACACCACGATGCTGATGAAGATCTGTTGTCACAAAAGGTTGCCACAATTTTCACATGTAATTAACAGCTGGCATTCTCTCAGCTCCCATTATCAGAAGCAGCTGAGATGTTTTGACTGCATTTTTCACAGAAAGAGATTGGAAGAAAAATGGTGCTTGTCTGATGCTTGCATCTGCCTTGATCAACTTGTAAACCAAGAACTGAAATATTCCAAACTTACAAGCAAATGTGTGATCTTAGTCATTTCAGCAACCTCCACTAGGCTGGCACAACCAATCTCAAATATGATGAAAAGAAATAGATATACTCCATTAAAGAGCAACGCAACAGAAATACTCCATTAGGAACATTTGTCCACTGTGTGAAAAAGTTAAGGAAGCAAGAACAAACTGGACAAGAACAAAACTACTCTTCTTGTTACACTGCCTTCTCTTGGCTTGAAAACATCCAAAACTCCCAACGATAACAACACTGTCCATTTCTGGGCAATGCGCACATGCAGTGTGACAGTTATTTTCCCAAAGGATGTGAGCTATTTTTAGATAAGAAAAGTAAGAAATAGTGTTACTCCCTCTCAGAGAGGCAGAACAGATATAGCTGGAGACTTGTCCATATCTCCAGCAAAGCTGGGAAGCAAGCTGAAGCCCAGGCAACATCAACTGCAGGTCATTCTTCCATTCAGTTCTGCTTTTTTAATGCATCATTTACCACACGAGTTGCAGAAATTGGTGAAGAAGTTAAAGACTTTGGGAATCATGATGGTTGTACACACTTTAAGGTTTTCTGCCCTGATAGGTACAGAGGAATTAACTGTTACAATGACAGAGAAAACAAACAGACAAAAAAAGTACAGAAAATCCAGCCTCTCCCAGAGCTCATACATCAGTCACCTCATATTTCTTCCTCCTCCTTAAACACTCAGCACCACGAGGCTAGAGCACTCCAATTTGTTGACTAGAATAGATAGTAAATAATAGAATATTTGAAATAAGCACACAATAGCAATGCTGACTGTTTTCAAAGGATGCGCAAATCACTTCAAATATAAATTGACAGAACTTTGTAATCTACAAATCATTAAGTTTTTATTATCACCCTCAGTTTCAGGTGTCTGAGGAACCAAAGGCACAGAACAGCTAAGCAAATTCTATTTAAATAGACAGCAAACTACACAATCGAAAAAAAAAAGCCCATATCAGTTCCTGGCCCAAATTCTTCCAGTCTTTGGAGACTAGTAGGAAGACAGCCCTCTCTCCAAACACAAAAAGATGTAAGTGGGAAGGGGCTATTTTTAACCTAGGTAAATTACACATCCTTGTTCTCATTCTCCCACCACGGCCTTTCTCTTTCTGATGACTTACCAACATGAGTCACTTCTTTCAGAGATGAGGACTGGCAATACTTGTCACATAAGGCATATTAACAGACTACTAGTTCACTAGAAATTTAGCTGCAGTTTAGATTTTCTCTTAGCTCTTAGGAAAGCAATAAATGACAGAGCCATTAGAAGATCTCTTCTTCCTCCTTACTTTTCCCTATGCTTCACACTCTTTAAATGAAAATAATACATACTGTATTATACAAATGGATCCATTAGGCTGCACTTTAAAATTCATAAGCTATGTATATCTGCACCCTCTTGAAAGCAAGTCCATTAAGTTGCTTTTAAGCAGAGAACCCATTCATCTTGGGAAATCATTTAAGAGCAGCAAGATTAGGCAGTAGTATTTAGTGGTACTCTAGTTACCACAACCCACGACACGCTCCACTCTGCGGGAATATACTGCCAATACAGATAGCCCTGTTCTATAGCGCATTTCCATGGGCATTCAGGATTCAAATCAACTGACTCTACTTAGGCATGCAAATCTCAATATTTAACCTACATAACAAATTAAATGGCTAGAATTAAGGGAGTGTCCCCCACTGGCACCACGTGCCATCTACTGTAAGCTCTAAAAGCTGCTTACGTGGGAAAGGACACAACTGGAGGGTCTGTAGTGACTCAAAGCATGGCCAGCAACAAAAAGAAAAGATTTTATCCCACTTGCTTCTGAAACAGCAGGTAAGCGTTCTGGTGTAAGATCGCGTTCATTACTTCAAAGGCAGTTGTGCTAATCAAGTTTAGCCCATGAGGTTTTCAGTTCGCGTGAAGGAAGGCAGCGCTGCTTAGAGGTCTACCTGGCGTTGGCGAGGGATTTGACACACCACTGCCATACCTCCCTGTATGCCCACCCACCCCCCTACAGACCTTTTCATCCCACAAGGGCCATGACATTCACCTTCACAACCTACACAGTTACTCATGCCAAGGGAAGACAGGAAACCCAAGCCATGCAGGGCCTTTCAAGCAGGAGCTCTGTGAAAAAAGGCAAAAATAGAATCCAGGTATTTGTACTGTCATCTATTTAGCATATGGAAAGGTGCCATAGCATTAGAAAGAGGTTGTATTTCCTTCATGACACACATTCAGATGACTGCACTGGAAGGAGGATGAATTCATCAATACAGGGAAGCATTCTTTTTTGCTGTCTCTGTCTTTTGCCGGTGGGCTGACGTCTCGTTGTGAAGCAGAGACTTTTCATCCTCGAGCTCGGCCACTTTGCTCAAGAGCTGGCGCTCCAGGTCCCCAAGCCTCCGCTGCAGCATCTCTCGGAGCTCCGGAGGCAGCGCTGCGTAGGACACGTTGGCTCGGAGCTGGTGCTTTGGGAAGAAGGAGAAAAAAGTTTATGCTATTCCTATAGCAGAAATTGTAAAATGTGGATATGCTCATGCCTCAAGAGGAAAAAAGGTCACCAAGATCTCCAGCAGCTACAGAAGAGGCATTGCTTTTTAGTCCTGGTCACAGTCAGTGCTTTTATGAGCACTGTACCCAACAAGTCCTGAACCTTTAACAAAGATTTCCTGTGTCACATATTAAAGGCTCTTCATACATTTGTGTTCAACAAAAAAAAAAAATCAATGCAGGAAGCCAGCTGCAAATAGTCCACATATTTATGATGATACAATGCACAACATGTAGGTTTTAGCTTCAGTTATTACAAATGATGCTACCAGCCTAATTCAACAGAAAAACACTTGTTGTAAACAAAAAGTTGGACTACTAAAGCACATTTACTAAGTAAAAGCTCACTCAGTTTTTGTTTGACAAGCAGTGAGACAGATATTCAACTGGAAATACTACCCAGTTTGATTATTTTTATTAATCTGAAAATAAAAAATAGGTCTATTTCTCAGGTATGACCAATACCTTTAAGGAATACTGTCCATATTATTCTGGTCAAGTTTCACTTCCCCCTGTGCTAAGATGTAAAGCTAATATGAGATGCCTCAGAAAGAGAGTAGCAGCATTAAAAGGATGCTACAGAGAATCAAAAAGCTACTTAGAAAAAAAATCCATGTTGTCCATATCTTGTAACAAAAGAACCTGTAGGAAGTTACTCTAAATCCTCCCAACTTTCATGAATCCTTGGAGGATCTCAGGAGAACACACATAGGTCTGGAAAATGAGGCAATGCCCAACACCCTTCCTGTCACTACAGTTTCTAGCACAATTTTTCCTCCCTTTGAGGGCCACTCAACCAAGGCCACAATCCAAAGGCTCCTGGAAACCATTTATCAGCAGGCTTGGACCAAAGCCCCTTTATTTTCACACAATTATTCAGCACCACGTTGGTGCTGCTGGGGGCCAGCTCTAAATAAGGCACCGTGTCTTGGCCAGCTGTCCAGCACGGCTCCTCGCGGTTGTCCAGCACCATATGCCAGGGTCTTATTGCCTGAGATGTCAGCATTACACCTAAACCCGGGGAAGCTGCACTCCCAGAAAGGGGGATTTGGGTGTATTAATGCAGAAACCGAGCTGGCAACCCTCAGGAAAGCCGTGCATCTTTTGTGGGTGGAATGGGATACACGGAAGAACCTTTCTGCCCCCTTCTCTGTTAAGGCAAAGGAGTGAAGACCAGGAGACCATGACAACCCACCCGCACAACCCTCTCCCTGTGCTTGGCAGCCTGGACGTGGACAGCTCCGCAGGGAGCAGCTGCTCCGGCCCACACGGATGGTGGATGTGGGCTCCATGACGGGAGCTTCGCCTCCCGAGCGCCGGCCCTACCTCGAGGCCCCCCAGCCGGTCCTTCAGGGTCTGCATGGTGCGGCTCAGCTGGTCGATGACCTGCGCCGGGTCCCGCGGCAGGTCGCCCATGGTGTCCTTGCCCTTGGACAGCTCCTTCCTCCACGCCGCCGTGGCGCCCTTGCCGTCGGGGCCGGCGGCGCCCTCGCAGCGGCTCAGCTTGCCCGTGAGCTCGCGGATGGCGTCGCGCTGGCTCCCGATCGTCTCCTTCTGCTGCAGGAAGGACTC